GGAGCCCCGTTTGTCCAAAGCCTTGATCCCTGTCCCAACTCTTCACATCACGCTGTTAGTCACCCATCTGGCAAATCAGGAGCAAATAGACCAGTGAGTGGATGCACATGCTGCCACATACACAAACACTATCAATGTCAACACATGCTGCAATATTGATTCCATCATCTGAGGAGCCGTCAGTGCAGATTGAAGTGAATGCTGAGCGGTTCTTTTGTGTAACACACACAAACAAGAATGCATTGATTGTTTTTTAAAGATGGACATTTGCATATATACAATATAATATATTTATAGTCCGATTATCTTTTCTTTTTAATCCTGCTTAAATATCTCCAGTTTAATGTCATGTCACAGTTACCCCATATTTTATCTATTTTACAGACTACTTATTGTTAAAGATGAAAATGAGAACCTAAATATCTTCTCTTTATTCTTATATCTAAAAGTAACGAGCCAATGTATTTATTCATCCATTAATCCAAGCCTGAATTCCTCTTCATTATGCTACATTCTCCAAGATATTGGTCTTTTTGATATGTTTTTGGTTTAAGTTCACTCCATTAAATTTATTTGCTTCTGTTTATTATCCTGCGTTACAGGTTTGACAGCAAAGCAGAGACTTGTTTTCAAAAACAGAGCCGTGTTTAGTAGTCAGTAATTACCATTGTTTCCTTCTTCTTCACCTTCTAATAAACAGATTAGTCCTGATTTTCTAGGCTTGGGTTCCAGTCGTGAGTGTTAGTGTTCTGTGAAATAACTGTCTCAGTGTAGCATTAACAAAGAACGTTTGAGTTCTTTCAGTTACGGTGTTTCTTTGGAATGTTCGAAGTCGGTTTCTGCTGGTTCTCTCCTTTGAATTCAGCATGAGATTGTTTTCTGTTTTGGCTGAATGTAAATGACAGTTGTTGTATTGCTGCTGCAAATTATGTATTTGTATGTGCTTTTTGTTTTCATGAAACAAACGTGACCTACAGTAAATGCTACTACTTTCATGTTAATATTCTAGAGTGGAGTGAATGTAACGTGAGGAAGGTATTGTTGTATATGATTTAATGGACAACATTAATTCTTAATCTACATCAAGCAAAGACTGTTGGACTTGAATGACTGAATCCTCTTACATAATACCAGAGACAGGATTAGCTATGAATTTCCACTGAATTTATGTGTGTTGTGTCTGTGCATGTTCTTTTCAGAGCGGCAGGCATACTCAGTCAGATTGAGCCCTCATTGGCCGAGGTGCTGGGTGGGCGGAGCCTGGTGTTGCCCTTTTCAGGCATCAGTCACTTCAGGAAGGAGGTGGTGTTTCTTGGGCTGGCCCCTGGACAACACAGACACACGCTGGACAGCCTGGCAGGTCAGTGACAAGTGTCCAACTCCAGGACACCAATCTATCGTTTTTACTCTTTGTTGGTTTGTCAAACGTATTCTCAGTGTCTAAATTATTTATTTTTGTTGAGCTGTAAATTTATTATTCACAAAATGTTAAATTTGAACCTTGTTGAACCACGTGTATTTTCCTTGACAATAATTGTGTTTCATTGGCGTTTATTGTTAAAGGGTTTATTTTTACACATCTTAAAGGTAGCTGCTCATTGAGGAGGGGCTTTCACATGGACGGGCCAAGATTAGACAGGTGTAAGCCCTGAGGTTAACACTCATGATCCTCCAGTCAAAGTTCACAGGTTCACAAGAATGATAAACGAAGACAATCTGCGAACAAATATTATTTATGTGGGTGGAATATTTTCTTGTTGACAAGACTCCAGTGTGAGTTTAAAAAAAGAAAAGAAAAATATGATGAGTCTGTGTATATATGTGGTACAAATGTGTTATAGGAAGGACTGTGTGTGTGGCAATTAATCAATTCTCAATTCAATTGTCACTAAATGTGTTACAAACCAGACGTAATGTGATTCATTTGTAATCACTAGTTATTTACTTGGTTCTAAGATGATTCTCAATGTTACAGTGATACGTAAGGACGCTCAGTTTAAATAAACATTAATTGTATTTTTAGTTTGAAAGTTTCCAAAACGGATGCCAAGTTTTTGAATTTAAAGGATAATAAATGTGTACTGATTTCTACACTACACTATCAGAGTAGCAGGATGAAGTGTGTATTTCTTCATTTATCTCCCATCATTCTACCTTAATCCAAATCCTGCACTAACCATCTTAGTCAAACTAATCAAAACAAGCATTTCATTTCTTCAAGCATAGCTTGGCTGATGACTGGAGGTAACTAATGTTATGTTACCTACTTTTTTTTTTCTTCATGTTATCAGTTGGAAGGACAGTGAGGTTTTAATGTAGGTAACAACAGACCGTGATTGGCGTCTTATGACGAACTCCCAGAAAGCTTTGCAGTGAGGGTGGGCGTGTCTCTCCACTCGAAGAGATGGCTTTTTTTTAAATCCTCTGATTAAATGTACACATTTTCTGCCTCTCTGCAGACGTAAGCAGGCATCCCTCCACAAGTGGCCTCATGAAACACAACTGTCCTAATGTTTGACTGATTACAGACTGTGTGCTGCAGCGAGGCCTGAAGTCTGACATCAACATATGAACAGAACCCAGTCTGCTCTTGTAATCACTTTTCTCTTCAGCGCAAAATTGAATGATATCATTAAACATCATTTGGTTAAATTCAGCACACAGGATTAGGTGGAGCGCTACATGCAGGAAGTAGCAGTGAAATGTTGAGAGCGGAGGGGCTGGGGTGTATGTGTTTGTGCTTCAAACAATCAAATATATTGCCGTCTGTATATTTAAAAGTGAACACTTCATTTTATCATCAAGTTTTATCAGTCTATTAACAATGAAGGCTTCTATTCTTTATGTCAGAATACTGCATTTCTACAGGATGTGTAGAAATGCAGACTTTAATATTTGATCATTTTCCATTGGTTAGAATTTGCAGGAATGACGCATTTATTTTTTTTCCAGTAGGTTCTATTTACAACTCTGATGTGAAAAACAAAACATTGGTGTTGTTTGTCCGCAGAGTAGAGGAAGGCGGAGGCATGAAGTCAGATTCTCGTCTTCTCACTCTGTCACTCTTATTGATTATCTACTAACCTTTCTTTCCCCCACACTGCTCCTTTTCTAAAAATACCTCCATTGTTTTCCTCTGAGCCTCATCAGCTGGGAGGTGCGTCTTTGCCCTTGGAGCCGGGCCCTGTGTTTGCGCCCTCGTTACGTGTCTGTCTTTGTCCACCAGGTCAAACCATACTCCATCAAAAGGCCCTTTTTGTACATCCTCTGACGCAGGCTGTCAGTCATCAGCATCCTCCAGTATATAGCCTGCCATTAGGACTTATACTAAAATCCATAATGGAGAATTAAGAGGGTTAATTTGCAGGATTGGATGTATAGCCTGCGTCTATGATGTAATGGGTTTTAATCCGTCTAATGTTTCTCTGACTAAGGGCGGCATAATCGTTTGTTGCAGAGTTGTTCCGGAGTCGTTTTGAAGAACAGGGTCTTTTGCAAGGAGACGCTCGTGGGTTTGAACCCCATCTAACCATTATGAAACTGTCCAGAGCTTCAAAGCTACGATCACAGGTAGGATCGCATCTGAACATTCACTCATATATTCACCTATTTAGTCAAACGTAATACTGCCTGTATTTGTCATTTATAGAGTTGTGAAGTTTAAGAGCCACATGCATTAATTTATATTTCACTTATTTTGTTTGAATGTTTTCTGTTTTTGTTGTTGTTTTGTTTTTTTTGTTTTTTTGCTTTTGCTAAAGTTTTATGTTGTGAGTGAAATGAAATATATCTATAATTGAAGTGAGTGGACCAAAGATGAGCAGTGGTCAGGAGTCAAGTGTCAGAGGAAGAACAGCATCTATCTTGGAGTTTTTCCTCCTGATGACTTCCTGTCTGGTGCCTACCAGGCGGCATGTTTTTCTTGTTATCTGCTGTTGTGTGTGTCTTAGAGAGAGAGACAGATATGACTACATACTCTAAATGTTCTCTGTTTTCCTTCAGGGTATAAAGCGTGTGGACCCAGTCCTCTACTCCAATTATTCTGACAAGTGGGTGCTTTGTTTCTCATAATTAACGTACTTGAAAAACCAAGTACTAAAACATGTGTATAACGTGTACTCCACAACAGTTATTCCTTAGCCAGGAGCTGTGGGTTTTGGAGGGAGCCTTAAATCCTAAAGGAAAGCTTTATCAGCCATTAAATGTTGGATGGATAATAATACAGTACAAATGTGAACATATGAATGTCCCCCAGGTATAATTATTTCTATAACTGTTTTATGTGCTGGGTGGCATTTTACTGTATTATAGTAAACTACATTTCTGCAGTACTATGGTGTTTGGGCTATACAATAAATGTCATATTTAGAAATGTTGATTTTTCTTGGTTAAAGATGATTAAAAGTAAACAACCAAAATTATGATTAACCATGATTAATTATGATTAATCCACAGCTACGCATGATAAATCAAATACTACTGATGCCAATTACTTGTACTGTACTGTATTGAAAAATACTTTAACCTATTTGGTATAAGCGGTGCTTTAACTGCTGTTTATGTTACTGCCAATTCCAGATTCTTTGGAGATCAGACGGTGGAGAGGGTGGATCTTTGCTCCATGTTAAAAAAGAAGCAAGAAGACGGTTATTACCACACTGAGACCTCTTTACAACTTGGTGAGTACAACCATTATTTGGCCGTTAGAGGGCGCCAAATATTCATCAAAGTCTCCCCGTATCAGTTTGGTTATGTGGTCTTGTGCTTTTGGTCACAGAACGGCACATCAGTGTGAATAAACCAAATGCATCTTGTGTGGATTTTTTTTCATGTATTCATATTTTACCTATTGCAGTTGATTACATCAGTCTTTTTTTTCCCTCCCTGATAATTATAGATTTCTGTGGTCATGCGTTCCTTCTTTGACAGGTTTGCCATTACACCATTGTCCCAGAGAGGACAACAGAATCATTGTTCTCTGATTGCCTGCAAATCTTTACTTTTCACTGGTGTCTCCAAAGATAAAACACCTCATCATAATCAAATCTTAGTAAACACTTTGTGTTAGACATTCTCTGATCCAGTTTGGCATCATAAACACAACAGCCCACATAGAGATCGGAGATGCAACAGTTTGGTGGATTTGAATTTGTTGTGAGCCAAGATCAATTGGCAGTAATGTTTGATAATAAGAAGAAAAATGAAAATGAACAAACCGAAATAATTCACAATTTGCGTCGATGTGAAGAAGCGTCTGACCTTGGTCTGCCTTTAATGAACTGCTGCACAACACAGTCTGCACCACAGACCGTTTAGTTAACACAAAATAACCAATACCTTTATTTGCATTTACTGTACATGTTTTGTAGCACACAGGATGTTATCTGAATAACTACAGACAACCATGTGGGGTGACATTGTTACTATGGAGATACACATGCACTGTCCAGGATATGATGGATCAGCTGTGACTCCCTGAGTCCCACTGTGAAGTGGCTGCACTAATTGCCTCATGTACATGTGTGTGAGCGTGTGAGGGCTGTCAGCACAAGTAGAGTGGGACTGTCAAAGTGTTTTGTGGATCACTGCTCTCCGTTAGAGAAACAAGAGTGACAGCGTGTGTGGGAGTTTAGAGACGGAGCAGGGAGATGTTTACTTTACACTTGTCACTATCAAGTAGCTTCTGTCTTAGCTGAAAAATACAACAAAATAAATGAAAGGCAAGAAAACTGCACTCCACCAGGCTCTGTGATTTTAGAGGTCAGTGGCAGTAACCGAGTCATGTACTGCACTGTTGATGTCGTTTATAATATCACAGCCATTATAAAAATATCATAACCTGTTTTTGATGGGACAGGTGAAGTATATGGTACTATAAGGAACCAAGGGAAGGAAACTTCCTAAGGAAAGATACATTGGTAGTGTTGAAACCCAAAGGACTTCTAGGTGATGGGATTACCAGGATTTTATTATTTTATTTTTTTTATGAGTATCTTATGTGTTAGCAACAGTTGGCATAGTTACAAAGCTGTTGGAGGTGTACAGCTCCACAGAAACAGTGCCGTGGTCTTTATTGACTTCTGTCTCATGTCTGTCCTGAGGTCAGGTCTAATATCTAGTGAGTAATCTCTGGTTTTTTGTCTCCATAACTTGTTTTTGCAACTGATGTTTTCACCAATGTAGAACATTAGGTTTATTTGCCTGGAAAGAATGAACAGTATAGGAGTATAAACAAACAGTAATCTAGAATATTTCACCCAGAGAAATGTGTGAGTTGTTTTATTATCACTAAGAAAAACTAGCAACATTTATAGAAACAATGAGATTTTTTTTTTTAAATATGGATGGTTTTCATAGCAGATCATTACGAAACCAGAAGCCAGTGATTATCAGGGAGAGATGTCATACTCTCTGCACTGCAGAGTAATTCATCTGCCCGCTCACAACAGACCAATTGCTCACTGAAGACACTGATGCAGAACAATGGCTCCTCGTGTAACAATTTAGTGAGACCGACAGAGAAATTTCAATAACTTGAATAAATAAATAGAATGAGTGAGCTGTTTAATTGGAGGCTGTTTATTTTCAGTCTGTTCTGACAGCGTGGTTGTCATATTAAAATAATGTATTTCTGCAGTTATTGGCTCCATGGTAAATCTGTGTGTGTGTGTGCGTTGTTGCTTTGTGGACTGTCCATATTAGAATTCAAATCTGCTCAAGTGAATGTGTGGCCATGTTCTGTGGCACATATTTCACATTTGAAAGATCCCACACCACATCTGCAAACTGAAATGTCACAGAAAGTATGTAATGAAATAATAATAATTTGAACTGTATTGATCCCACACTGAGGGAAACTGTTGTGTTAACAGTAGGTCTGCTGCAACAGGCTGGCCCTTTGAGCCAAACATGTGGCTGTTCTGGGCCTCAAACCCAGGACTTTTTGCATGTAAGGCAGATGTGTAAGCAAACGTGATCACCACCACAATGTGGAACAACTATTTAATGTATTGTACTATATAATATCCTCTATAATGATCTCATATTTTTAATTTACCCGCAATTAATTTACAATTGAATTACACCTGACTCTGTTTGATGAACAGATTGTTGATATACTCAGAGGAGTGGAAGAGAGATGTGCAAAAAGATCTCCTTCAAAGAGCTTTGTGGCTCTCATTTTGTTTTATAGTAATTTGCTGCCACCTGGTGGGAGAGCATTTAATTGCCCTACTAGTTGCATAGATGAATGCAGACAAATATTTTGCCACCAAAAATATATTCGTTTTCAAACTAATTAATTAAAAAAAATAATTTCCACAGTATACTTAAGGATCTCTTATAGCAGACTACTGTGCTATGGCCCACGCGTTGGGAACTGCACAGTACAACAGCAGTGTGTCATTCAGCATAAGGATTAACATGCAGCTCACAGGAGGTGCCGTCGACCTTGTTTTTTTTTTACCTTTTATACATTTTTAAAAGTTTTTATTTTTATTTTGTAAAAGTTTTTATAAATTTAAAAATGTTTACAAAAGGTGATGTAAGATTTATAGGTACAGTTATTATTCTGAAAAACAGTATTTGAAAAATATCTTTTTCTCAGCAATTTCTGATTTAGTTCTGCAGTGTTGAACACTTATTGTCTAAAACATGACAGTAGTAGGGATCCCCCCCCCCCCCCCCCCCCCAGACAGATGGATGAGATTTACAAAGAGGCACACACACACACATCTCCTTCTCCTTTTTCCAGACTGCTGAAAGTAATGCATCATAAATCAAAACACCAGACTGTAGCTAGTTCACGTTCAACTACTGTATGTATTTATCTGAGACAGACAATACATCAGCACCATTCACCTTTTTATCTCTTGGGAATTTGCTTTGACCTTTGCGACAAATCCTTACAGCAGAATGATTTTGTTTTACCTAGTCCTGAAAACATGTTTGGAGAGAGAAGCAGCTTTAAATCTAAAATCTGAGATGGCCCTGCTTCACGGCTATTTCACAGTAATGTCAAAGAAACTGCCATGTGTGACGTGCTAATAACGCTCTTGACTTGTTCCCGTTTGCAGAATTAAACATCACACCCACTGTGTTCCATTCTGAGACATAAGGAATCACCAGACACAAATGAACAGCATGAAAAATGCATAACAGTGGAACAGCTCCTGCTCAGAGACAGATGACGGTAGATTGTTGTGCTGCGACCTTTTGGTATTTTATTCAGAAAAGGTCACTTATTTATGATCTAACTCTGCTATCTGGCCTTTTTTTTTTTTCAAACTCTGGCAGTGTCCATTTTCCACTCAGCAGCTATGACAGAGTGCCAGGTGATACAAATTACTAATTTGCATGTAAGTGGGCTAATTTTTGATCAGGGAATCAGTGACTCATATGCCGGCAGGTAAAAAAAATAACAACAAAAAAAAAACACCATTGAAAAGCTTTGTCACATAGAAGACCAGGATAAATAGAGGTAATAGCTAAAGATAGGCATGTGTTGTTAATAATAAAATATATATATACATTTGTGACTAACATTTACCTCATAAAGGCATAACCTTTGTTCAGAAATTAATTTGTGAAGAATAAGAAAACCTAATGTGGTGATTTGCAAAATTATTTTAAGTTTACCGTTTAAATGAATATGACCTTTGCTCTAGCTAAACATCAACCTCCGATTATACATGTATTAGCATTGCAAAACAGTGATTCCCAAAGTGGGGGCACCTTTAAAAAATAAATGGAACTGAACTAAAAAGTGTTCTTCCTCCATGTACACTCTCACATTTGCATAAATTCAATTATTGTAATATCAGTTTTGAATGTAATTTTGGATCAGGTATTTTAAAGGATATTTACTGGGAAACCTCTATTTACCTTGTATCTTTACTTATTGAAAGGTTGAAATATAGTTACTTTGATTTACTATAGAAAATTAAGAGTCTCTGTTCTGTGGAGTTTAATGTGATTTACCATAACATTAGATCTGATAGTCCACATGACAATAATCAAATGTAATTAGAAGGCTAGTAAAGATGAAGGTTTAATGATCAAGACACATCTCTTGATCATTAAACCTCCATCTTTACTAGCCTTCTAAAAAGACATCTGTTGAGTCCTACGGGAACAATACTCAATAATGCAATCAACCCAATTCTAAGACATCCTGTAAGAGCAGAAAGCCTAATCTCTCAGTGGCATCTAAAGCTGGATTGAGTGCTGCACACATGATAACAAAGAGGTATCCGAGTACACCGTGCTTGCAGTAGTGAGTGATAAAAGGGTTAAAGAAGGGTTGAAGTAATATTAAAATGGAAAATATCAGGTCTGAACACGGAGAATAGAGCGGGTGAAAATGAGTGATGGAGGAGAGATTTCAGAGTAGACAGGATCAGCAGCACAAAGTAGGAGAAAAAACAGGTGTAGCAGAATCTTTCAGATCGAAGGCGAGTTGAAGTAGTCAGATATGATGTTGGATGGAGTGAGTGAAATGCTGTATCCAAATGATACATTTTATCAATTGATTTCATTAAGCTTAAAACTGAACATAGGGTGAAGCGTGACTATTTATAATGTAAAAAAGTCAACCAACAATAATTAACCAGCTTAACTGTGAATTAGAGCCTCTGAGAATTTCAAGTAAAACTTGACACAGTACACAGTGACATGGTAA